AAGGGCCATACAGTAATTTTTCATGCTCAGTTACATACCTGTGCATATAAAGAACATAAACAACCTCGCAGACGTGATCTCATTTTCCCAAGACTGTCCTAATCTCTGCTAGTTTTTTTTTTTTTTTTCATCTTTAGCCATTTTAGAGCAAGTTGGGGTAATGACTTAAGACGTGATCTCATTTTCCCAAGACTGTCCTAATCTCTGCTAGTTTTTTTTTTTTTTTTTTCATCTTTAGCCATTTTAGAGCAAGTTGGGGTAATGACTTAAGACAGAAAAAAAATAGCTATTATGATTACGATATAAATCTATGATTTCTTTCATAGTTATGCTGCTTTGGTATGGGTAGCCCATTACCTTTTTTATGGAAATAAGAGGTACAATTTTTTGAAATATGTGTAGGAAGCACATGATAGAGCAAACTCATGGTCATTAATAACTAGCAATTAGGCTAATATTGATCCATGGACTAGTTTAGTATCTCTGGTAAAAATAATGATGATCTACTTTTCTCAATGAAATGTTTTTCTTCCACGGTACCCAAGCAACAGGTGCCCTCTCCCGTATGATAGGTTATATTATTGTTTCAGGCAAATTTTAAAATACCTAGATAAATAAATAAAAACTCTGATATAAAATTCTCTCACATTTGTCTAGCTCTCAGTTTTATACTACTTTCTGGAGATGAACACGACACATAACATATAGTTATTTAGAATTCCCAAAATAAAAATTTCAAAAATCATCTGAGAACCAAAAAGGTTTTCTGAACCTCAGTTAAATAGTATGGTGACTGGGGGCCAAGAATTTGATCCCTCTGCTGTTTTGACTTATTTCTCTCATCCTCAGTTTCCTTGTTTCTGGAAGAATAAGAATAAATTAGGTGATCTCTAAGTGCCTTTTAGGTCCAATAAACTGTAGTTATCCCTTTTATCAAACATTAAAAAAAACTGAAAAGTTTCTCATCATTGCAGAAAACTGAGAAAACACAGAGAAGCAGAAAGAAAAAAATTAAGAACTGAACATTTTACTACTGAAAGTTGACTGCTTTAAAGTTTATGACTGTTAGCATTATGGAGAGTTAGATTTCAGTTTTCTCTATCATTATCCACATTTTTAAAATAAGGATAATGTTATCTAATTACTCTGTATAATGTTTTTTAAAAGTATAATTTGTGGAGCATGTCTTAGGGAAGTTCTTGACACTGTCCTGCTGTCTTGTCACTGTTCAAAGCACTTTACACATAATTTCGCACACAGAGTGAGCTCTGAGGTAGGTATCGCTACCCTCATTTGACTGATGACAACACAGCATAGTGAGGTTGTTCAACTGATGTTCAAGGTCACATCCCTGATAAATGGTGGGGCTGGATTGCTCTCTGGGAACCTGGCTTGCCTCCACCCTACTCTGCTCTACATTTCAGTCATTGATCTGAGGTGTAGGAAGGCGTGAGGCATGTGAAGAGTTGAGGATAAAGGAACAGCAAGGACAAAACCCTTGCAGAACCTCAGTGTGTTAGGGATTAGGACCTAAAGAGGGTTAGTGGTATCATCATGGGACACATCGCCCTTGATTTCCAGCTGGAACGTGGGTCGACAGGAGTGGTCCACTGTTCACTTTTTTCTGACTCACTGTAACCTTTGGGACTGGAAACAATTCCAGTCTAGATTGCTTAGCTGAAACTCCAGGAAAAAAAAAATAACTTGAATATTGAGGATATCTAGTTCTTTAAGCTACATTTGTCTACATCTGCACTTCGTTAGGGAACTTCCCAGTGAGTTTCCCTGATGACTCAGACGGTAAAGCGTCTGCCTACAATGCAGGAGACCTGGGTTCAATCCCTGGATTGGGAAGACCTCCTGGAGAAGGAAATGGCAACTCACTCCAGTACTCTTGCCTGGAAAATCCCATGGACAGAGGAACCTGGTAGGCTACAGTCCATGGGGTCGCAAAGTGTCGGACACGACAGAGCGACTTCACTTTCACTTTTCAGTTCTTTACGCTACATTTGTCTCCATCTGCACTTTGTCAGGGAAATGGTCAGCCATGTCAGTTAGCGCAGTGCAGGCAACAAGCTCCCTTGCCTCACTTATTCATATATCAGAGACGGAAGGAGGATATGAAATTCTGAGTGAGCTTCAGTTACTAAGATGCTTGTGCAAACTCCATACTCACCTTGTGCTGACCAGTCTAATATACAGTCACTAACTACCAGAATGTGCAGAATGATAATTTCATTGATTTTACTCTCACAGCATACATTTTCACAAGAATGTCATTTTTACTTTGCAATCTTTTTTTGATTTATATTTTCCCTTTTCTCTTACCTCCACAAAAGAGGTAATGAAACAATCTATTTTGAGCCTAGTAATGCAGTTTGAGTATCCATTTTATGTACTGCTGTCTAAATGGGAAAGATATATTATGAATTTTCACCAACAACTCTCACAGAAATTAGGAATGAATGGGCATTAATTGCTGAAGAATGAGATCCCTAGCTTGCTAATTTTGTGATAAAATATTCTCATAAAAAACATTTGTCACCTCTATGAAGATACACTAGGCAAGTCGAGATAAATTCAAAAGATAAGCAGAAGGCAGAGTTTGGCCAGGCTGAGGACTTTATGTATTCCTGAACATCTGTTCCTTCTTTCTGAAGCAGCGACTCTGGGTGATATTTCTCTTGGGCTGTGTCTTAGTGTATCAGAGTCAATATTCGATTATATTGTCTCCTTGACATACCAACTGAACTGAACAGACTGGATAGACATTTTGGCATAAGTGTATTATGGGCAAAGGCCAGAGGGGCTATATTTTTAAATAACTTTGCACAAAATGTCCCTGAAACACATATGTTGAATCAGAATTTTTATCCTTAGGTCCAGAGAGACAGCACTGATAGCTTCTGAAAGAACAGATCCCTTGCCTATGTTTCTTGTTAAACTGATGAGATTTTTCAGTTTTATTTAATATAACTCAGCTTAATGCAACATATCCATTTAATATTCGCCATGTGGCAAGCACTGTGCTGGGCCCTTATACCAAACCAGATGAAAGCTGTGGTGTGAGTTTGATCACATGGCATTGGGTGGGCAGGGGAAGGCAGGCTGACAAGTAAATATGAATAGACCAGATGCATATTATGATAGAGAGATGGAATATTATGATAGAGAAACTAAGAAGCACCAAATGAACAATTCTTTCTTTTGCCAGGGGAGAATAATAAAGACTAAAGTAATTCTGAATTGCTCCCTTGTAAACCCATTCAGTAAAACCATTTCAGTAAATGGCACTTCCATCCACCCGGCTGCCATGCTAGAAACCCATGTGTCATCCTTGATTTTCTCTTCCACCACCTCCCACATCCCAGGTGTTCGCAAGTCCTGTCAGCTCTGCCTGCAAATGATGTCCTGTATCCACAACCTTCTCTTCTCTCCATGGCCACCCGCTAATTCAAGCTGCCATCAGTCAGTCGGTGACTGACTGAATTACAGCAACAGTCTTTAAGTGGACTTCCAGTTTTGACTATTGCTTTTTTAAAAGTCCACTTGCCACACAGTAGCTAAGCAATCTTTAAAAAAAAAAAAAAAAACAAAACATAACTCTGTTACATAAAATCCTCTATTGGCTTCTCACTGCACTTGAAATAAAATCCAGTCTCCAACATCAACTTAAACCACCCTCTACACTGGTCATTATGCTCCATGAGGCTCATATTCTCTTTGCTCTCTGAACATGCCAGTAATTTTATTTCTAGGCCTCAGGGTCTTTGCACATGATGTTAACTCAGTCTGGAATGCTCCTCCCTCTGACTTTCACAGGACAGACTTCTTATCATTCAGGCATCAGTTCATGTCACCCCCTCGGAAGGTTTTGCATGACAACCCTATCTAAATAAATCATTCCGCTCCCACAGAGGCTCTGTGTCAGCATACTCCTTTATTTATTGCTATCTAAAATAACTGCATTTGGCATTCTGTTTAGGTTTATTTGTTTGTTTTTACCTAAATCCTTTGCAAAATTTAAATGCCATGAGGAGGGGTTTTTGGTTTTTGCTCACTGGCTCCCAGAGTAGTGCTGTCACACAGCAAGTGCTAAATAAATGTATGTTAAATACATGAAGAAGTAACTGAATGACTGAAATCTGTATTATTTGCCCCCAAATTTCACAGTTTGGTCTATGCTTTAAGGATGCTCATACTTTCTCTGCAGAGTTGATTTGAGAAGGCACCTGATATAGCACAGTTGGGTGGAACAGGTGAGACAGAGATGATCTCCCAGAGAAAGCAATATATTTGAAGAAGCTGTAAGGATCAGTGTAAGTTAGTCAAGGGACCAAGAGAATGAAGAGTATTTCAAGCCAAGGGAACAGAATACATAAAAAGACTCACAGTGGGGAAAAGGCATGATGTTATTAAAGTCTGGCATACAAATTGGTAAGACTGTCTTCAAAAAGCACATGATGAATCACCATACACTGTCATGTCATCCATCTGAGTAAGTAAGGTGAAATTCATCTATTTTCTTGAAATATTCTCACAAAAATGTGGGAACATAAAGCTACCTCAAGTAGGACTTGACATTTCTGCATTTTACTGTGGTTGAAACTATATCTTCAATACCACACACCCAGAAATTATTTGGATAACGTAAAACTTCTTTCTGGACACTGAAAACTAAATTATACAGAGATGACTGATAAGCTAATTGATCAACCTTCTACTTCATTTTGTCTGTGTACACAATTAAGTGTGAAGAAACAGACTCACACTGCATTGAGGCTGAAATTAGAAATTATATTTCTAGTAAGTCTTGCAAAATGGATTCATGGGTTTACTTCTTACACAAGCGTAGAAAATATAGGTAGTGAATGTAAAAGCATTCAACTTTTCTTAAATGTAATTGAGATAGTCAAGCTTTGTGTGCCAATAACATAACTTCCCAAACTCAACCTATGAGCACAAAAAACAGAATTCTGAAAATCCCTTAGAAAACTCACCATCGTTTCTCAATATCAGTGGTGTGGGTGGTCCCAGGACTTTTTGGTTTGTCACTGTATTTGTAACCACACAAGTATAATTTCCAACATCTGATTTTTCTACTTTGGCAATATATAGATTCCCAGTCTCTTGAGAAACGAAGCGGCGATTATCCTGATAGGAGGGGTATTCATTGAAAATCCAGGCATAGCTGAGCTCTGAAAGCAAAAGGAATCATCATTATAAACGTGTCTTTTATAAGAACTTTACTGTATTCATGAAAGAACTGGTGAAGTTAAAAATTCATACTGTTGCCCAATGATCCTTTTTCAGCCTGCTAAATATCAACAGGAAGTAATGACAGTCCCCTAAAGCATTGTTACCAGTCTTCCTACCATCAGTCAATAAGATTTTATTTCTATAGAACTAGAAGGTACACTGACCACTGACAGAGAAGTCCAATCTCTTTAAATCAAGGAATAAGCATTATAGTTCACTAAGCATGGCTAAGAACCATATAATACTTACAGAGCTAAATCTCAAGCTACAGATGCAGAGTCCACAATCTTGATATACCCTGGAAACTACTTATATCACTCCTTTCATCTTAGAGGCAATAATCATAATAGTATATCATGGTGCAACACACTTACACAGCACTTTATGGTTTCCAGTATAGTTTATAGTTTTCCATTAACTGAGAAATTCTGACACAGAGGATCAGACTGTCTAATCCAAACTCAGCCACAGCTAGAGACAGAGGCAGAGTAATTCCTGATTCTCAATCCAGTCTTTTCCCAGTGCCTCTTACTATTGATGCATATTCTTACTCCTTTTGCACTTGTGATGTTGAACTCTTTTCCCATTATTTTAGTGAGATGGTGATTTAATATTGTAGCAAATACTCGTTAAATATAATACAATGATTAGTTGGCTGGTCCCATAAATGAAAATCTGCATTTTTAACATATTATTCACTAGAAATGTATTACAGCCATAGGCATTAGTCTGAAACAATCCCCTGATCAGTAATGTGCTAAAAAAATTAGCTGAAAAAATTATTACATCTGTATAAAGTAGCCATCAAATAGCAACCTTTTCACAAATACTTATCCATCCCACAACGCCAATGGGAGGAGTGTAATAGGCAGTCATACTTAAAATGTTCCTTTGAAAATTCTCATTTTTTCTGCAGAATTAGGTGAATGTTTTGTGAATGAGCACATTAACCCATGCTTTCAATTTCAGAAAAGAAACCTAAGCGACAGCGAGTTTAAATGATTTGCTGCAGTGAACTATTGTGCTCTGAGGAAATCAAACTTCTTTAGCTCCAGGCATTTCATGATTCCTCTCTTTAAAGTGTGATCTTCAGATTTGTTCGAAGCTGGAGAAGTGATATAGCAGCCATGGGCACTGATTAGCCCACATGCCCTGTTTTACTTTCTCAAGTTATTTCAGGCAGGATGGGGAGCAACTAGATGCAAAGGGAGCCTGTGGTTTCCGAACTAGCTGACTGAGCTCTTGTGTGCTGCTCTTCAGTATGATCCTGGGCTAAATTCTAAATGCATGGATTGTCCTTGGAAAATGGCAGAAAGGTCACTTCAGCTTTGTAGACAGAATGCTAATTATTGGAAAAGGCACTTTGTTGTTTAATACTTCAATGAGTCCTCAGCTGTAATTGACCTCGATAACTGAATGTGTGACTGGGAACATATTCCATCTTAATGATCCACTGTTTACATACAAAGGAGGAGGTCATGTAGATTGCTTTCCCTTTATGGCTGGATTATAACATTTCTTCATGCATTATTTTACAGAGATACAATTAGGTTTATATGAGAATAGCTAATCATTTTATTTATGCATATGCATATAATTATAAGTAACCCCATGCTGATGTCAAGAGGATACTCACTGTAAATAAGCAAGCTCTTCCCAGCAAGCTAGTTACTTTCTCAAGAAACTACAATCTAGGGGGAGGAAAGGCCCCTCTAATAGGTTGTGAAAAAGTACAATGTAATGCAGCAATTTTGCCACAAAAACAGGACAGTCAACAAATATCACAGTGCAATGTACTCCTCTCTCAATTTGGCATGTCAGTTTCAGGCAAAGCAAGTAATCACCAAGGCTCTCAAAAATATTGTCACATGAACAGTGAAGAGAACATTGCCTATCCCGTAATTAATTATGAAAGTTTTAGGAATAAATAAACATATCCAAAGTCACAAGGTATAAGTTAGAAAGTAATTAACCAGCAAAATATTAATCAACCCATATCTCTCCAAGGAGAGTTATAATCAAATATATAAACTATACATATATATGTATTTTTTTCTGAAGACATTTTTTAAAACTTCTGCTACTGGCTAGTGCCACAAAACTTTCTGAATTTTGTAGAAGATGCATAGTTCAGTAACTAGGAAGTTGCAGGAACCATGGATACCAGGATAAAATACATCCACTTTGTTATTTTCCTAATTGGAATTAAAAAAAAAAAAAAGACCAGAAGACCAAAATTCAAAACTGAATTCCATAAAGAAAGCCATTTAAACACTCTTACTTAGTTTCAACTTAATCCAGCAAATGGAGATAATCATAAATGTGATATAGGCATGTAGTGAGGTTCAAGTTATGTGGAAGTCCTCTGAGTCAGAAGCACATCTGAATCATTGAAAGTTAATCATTTTTAAAGCAAAATCATTTTTAAAGTAAAAAATATCAAACGACAATTATCATGTTGTTTGATTATAAGAATGTTGGTTTCACTGCTTTTGTGAGTTACTACTTTAGTAGGAAATGCAAGCAACCATAAACATATTCTGCAGGAATAGAATAGAATAAAATAGAAGTTCTCTACCCCCTACCTATCTCAAATTTAAAAAGTTTATGTGACCAGAAGACTTTGAGAAGAACGGGATTAAATAAAGTTTAATAGATTTAAAATTTTCTCCTTTCAGGACCTGCAAGAGACTTTTAACATGTCAATGTGCCTCAAATTTCTTAGAGACTACTAAAGTCATGCAAACTTACTTGATGTAGAAGTGCCTCCCAACTCCTTCATCCACACACTCTTTCTAAAATGTCTACAATACATCACAAAATAGAGGCTGGGAAATGCTGAACTAATGCAATTTCAACTCAAGAATAAGTATAATATAAAAATTATTAGCTCTATTACTTCTGTTCTCAGGAAAGCCATTAAGTTACATTAAACAACAGAAAACAACAAAATGTTGAATTAAAGTTGTAATAAGTTTCCCAAATTGTAATAGCAATATATTACTGTAACTATTTTCAATGCTGTGGATAAAGGAACAGACCATAGTTTGAAACACAAGTATCAAATGGATTGTGCTAAGGATCCTAACTAACATCAGTTCAACATACAACATTCATAAATACTGTTGAGTCCTAAAGTGTGAAGGTCAACCAAAGAATCTCAGCTGGTTCACTGTTGAGATCATGTTGAGCTAAATGCTGAGACCCTTAAGGGGGGAAAATTTCTAAACATGATATTAATTAATTTTTATTTATCTGTTTTTCTTCACAGCAAATAGCACTACCTGGAATACTGTAATTTTATTTGTCCATAAAAATTAGGAAAGGAAAAAACAAAAATTAGGAAGGGGCCTGAATAATATAATGTAATGATAATGCAGACATCAAAGTAGGAAAAAATGTGTAGTAAGGATAAAAATTACCCAACAGACATTTATCTCTTCATTTTAAAGATATGAAAGAAGAACAAAGCTGAAGGTATCACACTCAAAAATGTCAAACTACACTACAAAGCTGCAGTAATTAAAACAGTTTGTCATTAGCATAGAAACAGGCACATATATCAATTAAATAGAATAAAGAACCCAAATATAAACCTATACAAATACAATCAGTTAACTTACTGCAAAGGTGCCAAGAACATACCACAGGGAAAGGAGAATAATTGAGTAAGTAGTGCTGGGAAAACAGCCACATGCAAAAGAATGAAACTGGATGGCTAGCTTGTACAATACACAAACGTTAACTCAAAACAGATGAAAGATTGGCATTAATATCTGAAACCATAAACTCCTACACACAAAAAAAATGGGCAGTAATAAGGTCCTTGACATGGGTCTTGGAGATGATTTTTTGAATCTGACACCAAAAACTAAAATAAGCAGGTGGGACTACATCAAACTAAAAAACAAATAAACAAACAAAAAAATTGCACAGTGAATGAAATCATCAATAAAATGAAAAGGCAACCTAATGAACAGAAGCGAATATTTGCAAATCATATATATGATATAGTATTAATATTCAAAATATGAAGAACTCCTACAGCTTACCAGCATAAAAAAAAAAAAAAAGAAAAGCTGATTAAAAAACGTGCACAGAAGATCTGAATGGACATTTTTCCAAACAGGACATATGTCAATATAGCTAATTATCAGGGGGATGCAAATTAAAACCACAATGATATATTATCTGACATCTGTCAGACTGGTTATTATAAAAAAGACAGCAAATAACAAGCAATGGTGAGGACACAGAGAAAAGAGAAATCGTGTGCACTGTTGCTGGGAATATATATCAGAACAGCCACTAAGGGAAACAGTATGGAAATTCTTCAAAAGATTAAAATGGAACTTCCATATCATCCAGCAATTCCACTTCAGGGTATTCACCTGAAAAAAACTAAAACACTAACTTGAAGAAATATCTGCATCCTCATGTTCACTGTAGGATCATTTAAAATAGCCAAGATACAGAAACAACCCAAGTGTCCATTGGTGGATGAAAGGATAAACAAACCATATATAAATATAACAATACATACACATACACACACATACACACAGAGAGAATGGAACATTATTCAGCCATTAAAAATAATTGAATCTTGCCATTTGGAACAATGTGCATAGACCTTGAGGGCATTATGCTGAGTGAAATAAGTAAGACAAAGAAAGTCAAATCTCATACAATCTCACTTATATGTGGACTCTAAAAATTAGACCAACAAACCAAGTTGTGGGTATGAAGAACAGATTGGCAGTTGTCAGCAGAGGCTGATAGACTGGGATAAATGAGCATTAAAAAGGTAAAAAATAAACTTATAAAATCTTAAAATTCCCTAGAAATTCTAATACCTCAACAGAAAGATAGCTATCATTTAGAATATATTTTCAATTCTAACCTATATGCCTGTAGGTTTTCATGATTTTAACCATAG